TGAACCTGCTGATCCTTTAAAAATGCCAGATCGTATACTTGGCCAAGGGAAACACTTAGCGAGGGAAAGCCGCCCTGCCCATCCGTCTCTTACGTGACATTTTCACAACAGTTGCAAGTGCCTGCTTTGGCAGGCATTGTGTGAGATTCCAAGAATAGGGACAAATAAGATACGGCTTGCAGTTCTGCAGCAAGAGACAGGTGCGTGCATGTAGGCGCGGACAGCGTTGGGTGACCTGCGATCCGTATCTGGTAAGGATATTGCAAAGGCTCAGAGGCTGATGTATTGACTTCTGCCCGGGGCTGTCTGACACATCCAGCTAGGCTTCATCTAGAAACACCTGATGCGGGGGTGCTCCCCAACCTTCCCGCCTCCATTTCCCTTGGCAGCACCCCGTCCTAAGGCAGGTTGTTATTCCCTCCTGGTATGCGCGTCCTTAGAAGCCTGAATGCCCAGTGTGCATCCCAGGGGCTGAGCCTTCAGACCGGAGTCTTCCGTGGTCACCGGCTGATGCCTTCTTATCACGTGATGGTGAGACTCACCTAGAATGTTCTCCTTCACTGGGCCAGGGAGTTTAGCTGACGGGATGCTGACATTGCTGCTGACGTTGGCTTTATGTCCCTTGGAGGCCATCATAAATTCAGTGAGAAGGAAATAGGATGCATTTATTTTTACCTAAGGTGGGAGTTGATGAGGATTCTGCCTCCTTTTCAGGGGCTGGCCCTGTCGGGAAGGAAGACATTCCTGTCTTTGAAGGCAGGAACCCAGAAGTCGGGGGTCCCTCCTCGCCAGACTCCGCAGGCCCACAGACCCCTCCTGTGCCACCCTTTCAGCCTGTGGCCGCAGCGGCAGCGCCCCCCAGGAAAGAGCTGCCTGCCCCCATGCCCCCCGCAGAGCACCCCAAACTGCCCCGCTCCGTTCCCACCCCACTGGTAATTGCTCAGAAAATGTCTGAGAAGTTGGCAGGAAATGAAGCGCTTTCACCCACGTCCCCCTCCAAGGAGGGCAAGCCTGGGGACTGGAGGACACTGCCTTCGGGGGCCCCTCGGAACGGGGACCCCTTCCTGGGGCACAGACACACGGCCCAGCCCGCACCCAAGATCCACCGCTTCCCGAGCAACATCAGCGTGACCAACAGCGCGGGAAAGGAGTTCAACAAGACCATCTCCAAAGCAGCCGTCAGCGTGCAGGAGCGGAAGGCCCGGGTCTTGGCCAACATCAATGGCGTCTCTTTCCTGGCCTCCGGGGAAGCGGAATACCGGGCCCCCAGGGCTGATGTCACCGAGCAGGGGACGCACGGCCAGAGCAAGCCCCACCCCATCCACGAAACCGTGTCCACGCGGGCCGGCAGCCATGCCAGCACTCAGCAGCAGTCCAGAGGCGTGCAGACAGAACAGTGCCTGCCGTTGCCCAACGGCTTCCAGAGCATCCACGACGTCCTAAAGAGTGAGCCCAGTGCCTTCGTCGTCTCCACGGGAAAAACTGTCACCTTCCGTCCAGACCCGGTGCTTGCTGGCAAACTTGCCCGCCAGAATGCCAGCAGGAGCTTTTACGAGCACCGGCAGCCGGACTGTGGCCAGGATGCCAGGAAGCGGTCGGGTTCGCTGCCCAGGGCTGTTGGGTTCAGGCCCCAGGGCATCACCGTCCAGTTCTCCGGCCGCGGGTCCACGGAGGAGGCCCGCCGGGAGGCCCTGCGCAAGCTCGGACTTCTGAAGGAGAACTTGTGATGGAGGATGGGGTGGGGGGGCTGGAGAGGCACAATGGCCAGGCTTGTGAGGCCTAACATGGATGTGGCCGCCCAAGGAGCAGTGGCCACGGTTCCGGGGAGGACGACAGATGACAGGTGCCAGGACTCCACGGGCCGGGCGGAGGGAGTGGGGATAGGAAGTGCCACCCAACTGCGCTGCCACATCTGAGCAGGGCGATCCTTCTGGGAGAGTCCGGCCCTGTATCTTGTCTTCCTTTTTCTAGGAGCTCAGAGAAGAACCCTGAAAACCCTAAATGCCATATGCCCTTTTTTTGGATTTAGAAGGAGGGGGATTGGGTCTGATTTGTTATTCTCCCGTCTCTCATCTAGACTCTTACCCCAAGGACGTGTGACACCCAAGCCAGGTTAGATCTCTTACATTCAGTTATCCATGAAAGGGATTTTCTCTTCCTTTTCTCTGTTTCCTAAAACAGAAATGCCTGTTCAATTTTCATAACATCTCAAAGCATCTCCTTTGGTTTTTCTGTTTGTTTTTCAGGGGTAAAGTTTGGTGTGTTAACCCTAGATGTGTCTTTGTTTCTGGATATGATTTGGTTTGCCCATTTGTGTGTTTTGTTTTTTTTTTTTAATTGAAAATTGAACCCTTCAGAGTATGATTTACTGTAATTTTGCATTACGGGAGTGGAATTGAAAGGTTGGATTTGGAAAAGGTAATTTTCAGGAAGCAAGTCCCATCAGACTGCGGGGGCTTTGTCACTGGGAGATATGTGGGTGAGCATGAATGGTGTATATACCTGTACATGATGTGTGTTTACAGAAATGTGTTCACACGCACATACATGCGTGAGTCCACATCTGCAAACTTCTTAAGACCCTTTCAAGTGACTACAGGATGCAAGCCCTTCCCTCTCTCTTGACGGATGCAACCATCGCAGCTGCGACGGGACACAGAGATCGGAACCTCTAAGGGCACATCTCCATTGTCTCCACAATCACCCATGTGTCGCTCTGTACCCAACGAAGGTAATATTCCAAGTAGGCTTCCAGAGAAGCAAGACAGTTCCTTCTGATTTCAATTTATCACCCAATTCTAGTTGTGCATGTTGCAAGGTAGCCAGTAAACAGAAGGAAATGAAAACATTCTTGAGATCCCTCATGTTCTGTGAGTAAGATCGCAGGATTAGCTTTAAAGGGGAAAAAACCCCCAGCAAACTAGGTTCCATAGTCTGAGAAGAACTGCTTTTCTCCCAGACTGTGTGTGTCACATGCTGAGTTGTAGCCACAAGCATTATTATTAAAACTATTTAAGGCTGGAGTCTTAAGCCTCTAAAAATAGACTGGGAAGGGCTCCAGTTGCAAGTCATGCCCTTCTGTTATTATATCTCAGCCAATGTCACAGACTCGGTTTCCTCCTGTTGAGTATTATTTAAATTAAAATTTTTAAATGCGCCGTAAAGCACATCTTTCATAGTATTCACTTTGCCTTGTAAGTTCCATAAAATGATGGTCATTTTTTCCCTTAGAACTATGGTATTTAGTGTCTCATCCAGCCCGTGTCTTCCTGAAATAATCTTATAGATTCTCGATGGTCTTAATTTAATAGGTGCTTTGATTTTACAGGTTTTTAAAATAGTTTTTATTGTGCTCCTGTTTGTATTGGATTTTGTTTGAAGAATTCTTGAGGGCTGTATTACCTTTCACAAAGTGAGATGCCATACACAGTGTTTAAAAATAGAGGGTCTTGATATGGCTAACATTTTAAATATCCTTTAAATATGAGAATTATCTCTATCCTATGACTTCACTGTGATTAAGGTCAACGTGACTATATTTGTTCTCACAATGTCGTTTTTGAAAAATAAATTTAGAGATTTATCTTAAGTATAAACAGCTTTGTTTTTGCATTTTATACTTGGCGCTCAGTTATTTTCTTTTAAATGGTTACATCCTTCTCTTGTATTTATTCATAATTATACTGGCTATTACTCTGGCCATTTCTTGTGCCCAAAACCCTAGTAATTAAAGCCATGTGTTTTTTACGAGGTTCAAATGATACCTGTTAATGCAGTAACCTGTATATGTATCATGTTAACAAAAACATCTAGTTTGGGCACGCCTGGGTGGCTAAGTCGGTGCAGCGTCTGCCTTCAGCTCAAGTCATGATCCCGGGGTCCTGGGATCAAGTCCCACATGGGGCTCCCTGCTCTGTGGGGAGTCTGTTTCTCCCTCTGCCCCTTACGCCGCTTGTGCTTTCTCTCAAATAAATAAAATAAAATATAAAATAAAATAAACATCTAGTTTGCAGAGAGGTATTCGTTCCCCTGCCATAACTACATGATAGGACATTCACAAAGGCTCATCGTCAAGTGATTGTTGACCACATTTCAAAGCAAAACTGTAATGAAAAGAAAAGATGAATTTCAAGTGCCCAGGTTTTTTTTCCTTCTTTTCAAAGTGATACCTGTAAATCACTCCCCATTTTTATGAAACTCTTTATCTTAATGCTCAAAGTCAGGGGAAAAGAATTCTTTGCTTTTAGGAAGGTAGGTACACATGGCCAGTCTCGTCCACACACAGCAATACGTTGCAGATACTACAGTAACAGTCCGCACACGGGGTGTCTTGAGTCTGTCGAGGTGCTTAAGGCGGTGGGTCGGGCCTGAGCCCACTCCTGCTCTTCCCTCCCTGTGTGGCACACACGGACATGGAGGGTACAGGATTCTTCCCACGAAATTCCTTGTTGGGGGGCTCCTAAGGTTGGCTCCCCATTTTCATGAAGAGCTTAGTGGAGTTGATAAAGTGAGGCCTCAGGAGACCCTCAGGATTGGCTTTTTTATTTGTGAAAAATCAGAAAGGCATTCTCTTCGTTAAATTCCCACAGCTCCGGCTCTGAGGCCTTTGACCCTACAGAGGATTTGGTGGTGATGTTTTTGATGTAGGTGATCTAAGGAATCAGTTCTTGATGTTTATTCAAGAGGAATGAAGAAAGAGAAGTAAGATAAATATGAAAACAATACACTCGTACCTGCTGTGCTGGGTCCCTAATGGAGGCGGCAGAATGGGGACATTGTTTCTCTAGGAGGGTTTTTGATTGCCCGGACAAGCTGTAATACACTTTTCTCCCTCGGCTCTCCCTTGAGATATTATATGTTTGTCATCAAATCCTCATGTTCCCTGAAGGCTCTGGAGCTGGTTTGCTGTGTTTTTCCCCTGCTCCGGCCTGTGACCCCCGCTGCCTGCCCCGGGGGAGGGGGGGGGCAGTCGGAAGGGGAGGCGTGTGAGGAATGCTCACCTGTGAAAGGTTCGTGTTGTCACTGAAATGACAAGCCACCAAACAGGTTCTGTTTGTTCTCCTCACAGCAGGGCTTTCTCCGGCTTTCAAGTATGGGAACAAGTTGGCATATCCTCTTCTAATCTACTCGCTGGACAAGCCCTGCTTTCAGATACCTGAGAAGAGAGAAGGCAGGGCGGTAAGCCGCCGCAGCCTGGTAAGATGAGGACTCGAGCTGCATTTGCGAGCAGGGGCGCTGTGTGGCCGGGTGGGGAATGCGGCCCCCTGCCGCCTCGGCTGACCGGTCCAGTCCAACCCCTGTTCCCCGCCGGCCCCTCGCCAGGTTCTCCCTCTTCCCCAAGGGCAGCAGAACTGCTGGCAGGAAAACCATTTGTCCTCCCCAAGAAAAGGCCTGGCCACAGGATAATGACCTAAGCACACTTCCCAGCCCACGCTTTTCAGCATAAAAAGAGTCAACCTTTGGGTGTGATGTTTGCGGTCCTTCTAAATGTCTCTTTTTTTAAAAAAAACAAATAACGAAGCTCTTCCCTCCATATTCCAAATTCCCTAAGGCTTAAGAAATGCCAACCACTGCCATCACCAGCGGGCTCACTCGCTGTCCTGGCTACTGTCCTTCTAAGGAGGCCACAGATGACCCCAGGAGCCAGGCAGAGCTCGCCCCATTGCGATACCATCACTGCACCAACCTGCCAGCCCGGCTCTGTAAAGATCTCCTTCAGGCCCGGAACCTTCTATTCAGCAAAGAGCTAAAGGCAGGGAAACATGGAGGTTTCCAGAAATGACCCAGAAAGCCAAAATGGCAAACATGTGTTCTTTGGAGAACTTAGCTTAGGCTGGGTGGGGGAAAACCACAAATGGCCTTAAGTTAGGGGCAGGGTCCACACACCCCCGCCCCGAAAACTGTGCGATCCTGGGACACCTCCTAGTGTTGCTTTCTGCCTTCTGATTCCCCCACGGGCCCTTCTGCTTTGGGGGCACACCAGGATCCAGAGCAAAGCTGAGGCAGAAGGAATCTCCCCGCCTCCATGGTTGGGTTCGATGTAGGTTTTCCTGATACCCACTGCTTCTTCGAGATCCTTAAAGCCAGCCATTTCCCCAGCTGACCATGTTTCTGAGGTTCAGAGAACATTTCCAAAGGGGAGACATACCCCCATTTTGTGGAGGGGCTCAGGGGTCTACTTTCTGGGCACGGGAGCTCCTAGTGTGGCGGCTTAGGTTCAGCATTCAGGGGTCACCCCCACCCGACACCCCCTGCTTGCAGTCAAGGCGGGAGCTGTGCCGGTCCGGCCCCGGGCCAGAGGGAAGAATTCACATTCAGAAGCAGAGGTTAATGGAACTTAGTCATTGATAAACACGTCACACTTCATAAACCAGCCTCCCAGTATTTGTGGGTGAAACACAGCTGCCAAGGGTAACAACCGAAGTTCTGGAAATAACCTTTAAGGGGTGGGGTGAGTGAACAAGGAATCCATGTGTCAGACAGAGAGGCTCCAGAGCATGAGCGTGCACACGCGCTTCTAGGCGACTGGTGGCTTTCCGTCCGCGGCATTCGCTGAGTGTCGCTGAGTGGTATGAGCCCCTCGAGCGGGGGACATGCAGCGGGAGGCTGGCCCTTGTTACCAGAGATGCATTCCAGTCTCCGTGGTCTTTGTACAATCAATCACATCACTCCTCACGGAACCCACACCCCGACGTTACTGGGATGATAGAAGGTTTTCTCCTGCTTCCAACTGGTCCTCCTGTGGTTACATAGCTTCCCGGTCCATGAGATAGGACAGAATTTATCCTGTCACTTAGACATCCTTTGGTGTCTAAGCATTTTGAAGTTGGAGGGAAATAACCTTTGCCTTGTGAAGACAATTTCAAAGAGGAGGAAAGTGGAAAGTTCAGGAAGGGCTTCCCCAGCCGGGCTTGCTGTGGAGGCTGGGGAGCCTCACCTCCCTGGGGCTTGCTTTCTAAACCCAGCCCGGGGAACCTCCACCAGGCTCTTCCCAACTCACTGTGCATGGGTTTGTAATACTTCTTCTAAGGAATCTTAAAGACCAAAGGAGCTCAATTGAAATGTTAATTGTGGAAAGCACTTGTCCGAAACTAATAATTCGCACAGCTTAGGAGGTGAACCAAGTGGTCCTGAATAGGACCGTGTTCGCCGATTCCTTCAGCAAGTCTTTGTGTCCTTCTGTGGGCCCCATGCTGTGAGTGGTGCTAAATGTCACCACCTGTTCCTCATGATGATCTGCCAGGTTGGGGGTGTGTGACGACCTCTTACAGATGAGAAAACGCAGACTTCTCTTCACAAGGGGTTCCTGTGGGCCAGTGGGTCCATACCCTGGTGGCCTGATGTGCAAACTCCCTGCTTCCCGCACCTTCTGTGAAGCTGCCCACGCCTCGCCAGGCTGCTACCTTCCAGCTGTCCCTTCTCCCGAGTGTGGAAAGGGCTAACCCTCCTCAGTGTCACCGAGAGAGACCACAATCCCGTTTCTCCCCTCCAGAGCCCTTCTTGTCCCCCGCGGAGCCACTTCCTGTAGTGTTCTGTCTGCACCCCCCCCCCCCCACTCGCTAGGGCCTGTCTCCGATTTACAGCTGTGCCTCAGCTTACAGGGAGTGGAGGGCACGGCATGGTTGGGGAACAAAGGGGAGGCAGGTGAGGACTGTAGTCCGCAGTCTGGATTGGTGTAAAGAGCATTCCAGTGGCCTGCACAGAGCTGGAAAGAGGAGAGGGAAGTGGGGTGTGTCCCCCGGGCCTGCGAAGGACCCTTCGGCCGGGGCTGGGGTTGCTTGGACCTGCTGCTGCATGTGACCTCTGCCTCGGGGGATCCAGTTCACAGCAGGTCCTTTGGCTCCATGCCTCCACGTCTTCCTTCAGGACTTGCTTCTGGAATCTGGAATTGCCAGTCATGGTTTCCAACACCCCCGTGTGCAAGACTCCCACGCACACACCGCACACCCAGCCAGCCGAGTTCCCCGGGGACGTTGCCCGGCCTGCTCCTTGGCAGTCCTCTGAAGTTGTGGTTGTTACTGGAAAGGTCGCCAAGCTTCAGTGGAAAGTCCGGGACCCGGCTGCCCCAAGCATCAGGGCTTGAGGCAGGGCAAGGCAAAGCGGAAGCCCATGCCCGGCCTTAGCCTCGCCCTCCGCCGGAGGCCACCCAGCTCCAGTGGGAGCCACTCCGGAGGCTTCTGGGGCTGGACTTGTTCTCCCCATTGTAAGTCTCCAGCCACAGTCCACTCAGGACACAACTGCAGCACAAACTGGTGGTCCTTCCCTGATCGTGTCGGGGATTATTGCAAGTCTGCCAACACTTGTAGGTGGCATTGTTGAAGTTTTGTCTACATTTTATTGGGATGCACCAGCTCTCAGAGACCTGGGCATCTCCTTGCCTTGAAAGGCTCTACGCTTTGTCTAATAGTGAATGTTGCTGGTGTTTATTTTTTTAAACTATTTATAAGATTTTATTTATTTGAGAGAGAGTGAGAGAGCACAAGCAGGGGGAGCAGCAGAGGGAGAGGAAGAAGCAGGCTCCCCACTGAGCAGGGAGCCCCACATGGGACTCAGTCTCAGGACCCTGGGATCATGACCTGAGCCAAAAGCAGATGCTTAACCGACTGAACCACCCAGGCACCCCGTTGCTGGTGTTTAAATTCTATTTTGGTACATTCCTTCCAGGAATAACTTCTTTCAGTGCTAGTTTGGGCCAGATTTAAAAATCACCCAATTTTATCTTTTAAGCCAGCTTTTTTTCTCAGCTGAATCATCCATGTGCACAGCAATTCCAAATGACCACTTGCTATTTCTAGAAATCAGATCCACCTTCAAAGGTAGATTTGGCCCTACGTGCATTCTGCCCAATTCCAGACTCCACACTGAAACCCAACGGGCTTCATGAGGAGCAGAGACCGCAGAAAGAAAAGACTTGAGAGGTGATGAGAACTGCCTCCAGAGGCTTACAAGGCAGTCAGAACAGAGAATCCTGTGCAGCCACAGAGACGACACAGGGCAGATTCCAGCTCCATATAGGAAACTTCCGGGGCTTTGAGCTGAGTGAAACGGAGAGAACTGTTCATGGGAGTGTGAGTCCCATCTCCGTATGCGAGCAGGGACTGTGCAAGCACCCTGGGACAGGAAGGTGACAGGAATTGTACTCAGTGTCACCCCTTCCAAATCTGAGATCTTGTCATGGGTTCATAGAGAGCAGGCTTTGTTGTTACCCTGACCTGAGTTTGAATCCCAGCCCTATGATTGTTGGCTGTGTGACTTAACTTCTCTGAGGCTCACTTTCTTCACCTGAAAAAATAGGGGGTGACCCATACTCACCCCATAAGGTTGTTGTGGGACTGAATGAGATCACATATGCTAAGTTTGGCCTGGCACACACCATCACCATCACTATTATCACCATCCCCACATCATCATCATCACCACCATCACCACCATCATCATCACCATCACCATCATCACCACCATCACCATCACCACCATCATCATCACCATCACCATCATCACCACCATCACCATCACCATCACCACCATCACCACCATCACCATCACCATCACCATCACCACCATCAGCATCACCACCATCATCACCACCATCACCATCACCACTATCATCACCACCATCACCATCACCACCATCATCATCACCATCACCATCACCACCATCACCATCACCATCACCATCAGCATCACCACCATCATCACCATCACCATCACCACCATCATCATCACCATCACCATCATCACCACCATCACCATCATCATCATCACCACCATCACCATCATCACCATCATCACCATCACCATCACCACCATCATCATCACCATCACCATCACCATCATCACCACCATCACCATCACCACCATCACCATCACCATTATCTTGATCACCATCATCATCACCATCACCATCATCACCACCATCACCACCATCATCACCATCACCATCACCACCATCACCATCATCACCATCACCATCACCATTATCTTGATCACCATCATCTGCACCATCTCCACCTCCATCATCATTATCACCACAAAGTCTGTGCCAGAATTCCTACAGAGCCTTCTGGAATGGCCCTGTGCTAGTCCAGCAGCAGGAAGGGTGAGCAGGCACCAGCCTCAGAGCCTCATTCAGATACCACCACTCACCACGGTCCCATTCCTACCTGTAGCAATGAAGCAACTTTTACATTTAAAATCCACTGCCTACTGAGAAACAGAATTTTGCCACTTTCTAAAAATAGGTCTCCAGAGTTTGTTTTCCTTCCCCAGAGCTGGGTAGGTCTGGCTTCCTGCTTAGATACACAACATCAGAGGACTCCCTCTTCCAAGTTCACACTTTTCCATGTCTCCTTTCCTTTCCGCCTGAGACTCACAGAGCTCCTCTCAGAGCTGGGCTCTCCCGCCACCTCCCAGGGCCTCCTCCCAGATGAGGAAGTGCCCAGCCCAGCCTCGCGCCTGAAAGGCTCCAGGGAACACTGGGGGATTGTCCAGTCAGAGCCCCTTGGCCGCCTCGCTGCCCAGGAGGAAATGCTTATTTTGAGTTGCTGGGCTGGCCAGACTGCGGCCCTCAGACTTTCCACCCTACACAGCATACTCCCAGCCAGTCCTGGCAGTGGGAGGTGCTAGGGCAGAATGCAAGGAGGGGGACTCTTCAACCAGAGCCTCCAGAGCAGCTGCCGGGAAGCAGGTGGAGTGATCCAGGCCCCAGTCACACC